GAGGAGAGGATGAGAGAGAGACGGAGGAGACGGCTGAGAGAGAGAGAAGATCAGCGCAAACGTCATTGCTTCCTGTGAATGATTGGAGAATCAATACAGTGTGCTGCTGTGTGTGTGTGTGTGGTGTGTGTGTGTGTGTGTGGGTGTGGTGTGTGTGTGTGTGTGGGTGTGTGGTGATGGTTGTGGTGTGTGTGTGTGTGCCCTGTGTGTGTGTGTGTGTGTGTGTGTGTGGGTGTGTGTGTGTGTGTGTGTGTGTGTGTTTTGTTTTGTGTATTCGAGCTGATAAAAACCTGGGTTATGGTGTCAGAATTGGGGGGGGGGGGGGATTCCCATCAGATCTTTTAGGCTGTAGGTCTTCCAAATTAAAGTCCCCATTAAGAGACAAGGCACACAAAGCAGTTGTACTGCTTGCATATTGTCGTTATTCTGCTGTTCTGCACTCATACACATTGGTGTATGTGTACAAATAAACACCAAGAAAGGTTCAGATTAATATGTTATCCTTTCAATATATACATCTATGAGTGTATTGTTTTTACTTTGTTTGAAAAACCTTAAAATATGTATTTAGATTTGTTATACTTCATTGGAATAAATAGTTGATTGATCTATTTGCAAACACATTCCAAGGTAACTGGTCATTGCAACGCAATCCTATATGTGAACATATCCATGTACATGTGGTGTAGGGCTGCATGCTTCACATTTAGTATAACATGTAACACAAGCAAGAAGAATACATTATCAGCTACTGCCCTCTTGTGGAGAAACCCTAAAAATACCACAGTCATTTTGCCCTCCCCTAGTGCTCTAGGGTCAAATGAGTATGGATATTTTATATTGGTATAGCAATACATGTGATACATTGTATATTAATAAGGGCTGTTTTGTGACCTGTAGGCAACTAACAAAGAAAATGTGTAGCAGTTTGTAAATGTATTCATTCAAATGTATGCAATAAATATGTGAGCTCTATTGGGGGAAGCAGTACAAACATATAGTTTATTTTTCATTATATGCTATATAGCTAATGAAAAATAAACTATATATATTATTTTTCTGAGATAAAAATGTCAAGGTAAAGAATGTGCCTAATTTTAAATACAGTATTACATTAGGCTTTCTTAAAAGCACTTATTTTGAAAACAAACTTGTTAAAAAAAACACAATAAGGACAGAACCTTAAAATACCTTAAAACATTGTAAACCCAATGTTCAGTCATTTATAGGGCTACAGGTGGTCTGCTACTCTGCTCATAATTGGTTCAATACAAAGGTTGCTAAATTCGCACATTTACTTAATTTGTTATGTTATTGAATTTATTAGGGCTTAAAATAACCGACTCTATTTCTTTCTTTCTTCCATGAATTGTTTAAGCTTCTACTGAACTTCAACAGTTATACAGAAGCAATAAATTGAGCTTTAAAGTACGTTTATTATATTATATTATAATGGTAATACCAGAAGTTAATCTCATTGCTTGTTTAAACAATTTCCATCTTGCGCGCCTCTAAATCCTTATACTGAGTCACTTAGCTGTAATACCTGACCACTCAATGGAAACCCACTCTCTCCCAGTAGGGTATGATATTTCGGTGTGTCTGACGGCCCGTGAATGCAGCATCACACCCTAATTTTTCCCAACATCCGGGACATTTGAAGCCGCTAGTGTGTGTAGAAACTGGGTGAGGAGGGCAGTGGAGAGCGGTGGAAAGGCGGACTGATGACAGCTGTCAGTGTGGACAAAAACACTACTAATCTCTGACGAGAAGCCGAATGGCTCGCCCCTAAACCTCCAGGAGAAAAGGGACAACTCCTTGGCAGTATCGCGGGTTATTTAAAGGTGTCGCGAAGGTAACGTTATATTTTTGGGATAGGGAATAAGACGGGAGGATCAGTGCCAGTTTACCCGGTCTGCCTCTCAGGAGAGTCGAGGTTAGCCCCACTGGCTATCCAAGCTAACTCTCAAGCTAAAGTGGTCAGCTAGCCTAGCCTTGACTCCCAGAGATTGTGTTCGGTGCTGGGGGTCATTGCTGTAGAAAGGACATGTGTGGATCTATGATGTGGACATGTCTCGATTTTGCTAAGCGCTAGCTTCAGCGGTAGCGGAGGAAGAACCTAGAAGGGTAGTTAACTTTTTAAATGAGGGTTTTGTTAAGATGAAATGCTAGTTAGCACTCTTAGTTAGCTTACCATTGAACTGGCTAATTCTTGTCAACGTTAACGTCAGTATAATTAGCTATTGTTAGCTAAGGCTAACAGGGCATAAGCCTTACTTTGGCGCAAATGTGCTAGCTAAGGTGAGTATATTACTATCCGTTTACCCTAATGGACATGGGACTGTAATGGAAGCTTTGGGAATGTTTGGACCGACCGCGTAAGCGCCAATGATTCATAAAGTTAACCATAGCTGAAGTTGGATGATTAACGTAAACTTATAGTAACGCATCAACCTGTTTTGAATTGACAAAGAACTATCCGTATTCATTTGTTTGTTAGCCAGCCTTTCTGAGGGGGTCACACTGGTTATTTTGAGCTATGGATCCAAGGGTTTCAGATCATCAAACGTCTTCAGGGAGTGCTCATGCTTCGCTTGGGTCCTCTGACTCAGCTGGGTCTCAAACTAGGCGTTTTCCCCCTGTCTTTACCAGCCAGCCACGGTGCTCTTTTGTCTGGATGATCTGCAAACGTTGATATTTCCTGAACGTCTATCAAATACATATCATGTGGACGATGCAGAATACTATAATACCATCTAATGATAATCAGGTTTCAGATCAGTTAAAAATGTATAGCTTAATGTTCTTATACGATCCTTAGACCTCATTACCTGTTGTTTAATGTAATGCTATGTTTGCTATAAAGCTGCAGTTGTTCTGCATGCCATTTAAAGGCTGGTTGATGTCAGCCATAACTGATCCAAAGCTATGTAAGAGCCATTCATAAGTGTGTTTGCTTGAATGGAAACAAGAGATGGGTAGTGTTTTGGTTGTTAGAGAGATTAGAGTGCATACAACCGTGCACAATAAAATGTTGAAACTGGAGAATGGACCTGTACTATTATGTTCATTCACACATGGCTTTGTTTAAGTACCATTCATAAGTGTTCTTTGTGTTTTCTTGTTTATCCTCGTAGGTGAAAACACACAGTTCTGTGTATCTTCTGGACTTACACATCATTGCTGGAGCTACAGTTGCAGGCAACATGGGGACACAAGGCTCTGGTAGAAAGCGTGCTCCACTAAAAGACCGCTTCTCAGCAGAAGATGAAGCCTTGAGTAGCATAGCCCGGGAGGTAAGAACAAACTCCATCACATGTCTTTCCATTTTGGAAAAGAGTACACTGGATCTAGGCCATATTCTTCATCATTGCTCTATTCATGCCTTGCTTAATCCATGCTAATATGATTTTCTAACTCAAATTGTCTTGATTATACTCATTTAGATAATGGGTTTAGGCATATGTAGAGGAATGATTTGTCAGTCTCAGATGGCCTTATTTTGTTCAGCAGCATCATCATATTTTCAATAAAAGGGAACATGGCTACTAGATTATTGGAACCATTATGTGCACTCAGGGTTGGCTGACACTGCACTGTGGATGGAAGAGAAACCTTTTAAGATCAAATCTATGTGGAATGTATTTCCAAAGATAGATATGTATGTAGGCTGTTTCCGGGTGCATCTATAGTCCATGTTGTATCATTACCTTAACCAAAAGAGTGCTTTGATGAGTGTTGTACTGTTTAATTGTGTCACGTTTTTCTTGAAATGTATGAAATTGTCATATTCGTAGATAGGGAAAACTATCCAAATAGATTTCGAGCATTTAACTTAGAATACTTTACAGTTTATTAGGATTTTTCTTTCAGACTTGTTGCTTTTGAGCACACCTGGATTATTTATTGAAAACAGGGAGCAGTATAACCTAGTAGATAATATGTCAACACCCATGTTAAGTGAGACAGAAACAGGTATTTATTACGCTATCAATTATGTTAATTTGTAACGTGGTCAAAGTTGGGTCAGTGGGCTTTGGAAAGCTGCTTAAATGTGGATATTCAGGTCCTGTTGGATAATTTGAGTTTCAGCCAAAGTGAGTAGAGACAGCTGGTTTGGACCAGAGAGAGACTGACTTAACTTGTAGTGTTTTGGTTTGGGGGGGAAAAACACTGGCAGAGAAGAGAAGCAGCCTAGCCTGTAACGACATGCCCTGGGATTATTCCATTTAGTCAAACCGCAGGGCTGCCATTCCTTTGCCTTTCTTTCAGAGTGAGTTCACTAACATCATGAAATGGAAAGCTCAGTTTTCAGAGTGTAATGACCTCTATGCTAGTGAGGTGAAAAAGCCACCTTGTTTGAAAACTTTAGATTTTACATGTAGAAATAAAGCACTGGTTAAAACTTCAAATTCATTAACATTTGCACTAAGAATGCTTGATCCATACAGTGCCTGCACTAAGCACAAGGCTCCATTTGCTCTCTTTATAGTCATGCAGGCCGATCATAGAAACATGAGTCATCCGACCCTCCCAGTCAGGTCCTAAATGTGAATCTCTTTGTGGAGTGAAGAAATATTAGATCAACTGTTCAGGGAGTTCGTTGGGTCAGTGTCTAACGTGTTGCCAATCAACACACTCCAAAACAAATATTCAAATCACAGCAGCCTTGCGTTGTCCGTTGCTGTTTAAGAAAAAAGGCTCAAGCCTGCCTGTGCTTGGCACGGATCACTGCTGAGAATGACTGTGAATTTGAGCCTGCACCGTCACCAGCCCTCTCAGTTCTGAGGCCTCTTACATTACTGGGAGTCAAACCCTATGAATACCAGCAGCTTGCTAAGAAATATTACAGTGTTGGAACTAGATGAACATCTCATACCTGTCGCCCAACTGATTAGGATCTAAGGGAACCGCCATCGGCACTCATTGAAGCAATCATTGAATCACTTCAGTATACAGAGGGTGTGTGTGGAAGCTATAGTTCATAGTTCATATTCTCCTATTTGTGATATCAACAGGTCATTATTGCAATGGAGAGTGAAACACTTTCATTTCCGTGTACAGTTAGGACACTGTTCAGACTTCAGAAAACAAAGCAGCTATTTAAGCTTCCTTCTGCAAATGATGGACAAGGACTATCACATTGTTCTGACTTCCTTCCTTGATAATGCAAGCTTTCCAACGGTATTTGGTTTTAGTTTTTTTTTATACATTTAAAGTGTCTTTTTTTGTTGTACTAAAAGCAAGCAATCGAGGACAGTCTAATGTCATTTTTATGTTGGACAAGGGACTCAAAGGTTAGTCATTTACATAGCGTAGAGCAGGGGAGTGAACCTAGAGTGACTGCACTGGCTTTTATTTAAAGCTATCTATGTGTTTAAACAAATGTAATCAAATTATTAGGAGCCGCTTTTACTAATTTTAATGCTGGGGTGCCTTTTTGGTGATCAGCATGTAGGGAAAGTTGAGTTGAATTTGCAATAAGCAGTGTCTAGTCTAGTGTCTAGTTATTGCTAGAGAGAATTCTGAGTTGATGTATTATTGAGGATGTGAAAGTATCGAACACTTTCCACTGATATATCTATTGTAAGCTAGTTTCCTTTTTTCATTTGTAGCGTAATGAGCTCATACATACAGCAATAGTGACCAAAATAATGAAACTGGTCATGCTTTTTCTTACTTACAATGTGTTCTTTTATTGGTTTGTAATATTTGTTGAGCACAGCACTTTTTGTTTCAGTTTTAAAAATGCAGTATACTGTTAAAATATTTGAATAGTCCCTTTTTCTGTTGATTACCTTTATCCCGAGGTCTTACTTTTTTAACCAACATTCTTTTACTTACATATATGAAACACCAAAATGGATGAATCCATACATGTCATTGGAGCTACCCTAACAAGGGTATAATTATGAATTGATCGTACTCTCAGTGCATACGCAATTCAGTGTTGGGAGGGTTCCAGGTGATCTCATGTTGGGTTTCTGGACTTTTATTGCTCAGAGTGCTGGAGGTGTGTGTGATGGTGAACTTCTGGTGCTCAGGTTACCCCTCCTAGCCCCATGATACGGCTGGGGGCCGGATGGTCCGGGCTATAGATAGGACAGAGACAGAGAGCTCAGCTGTGCTGCTGTGAGAGCGGGTCACACTGTCAGACAGCTCAACAGGTGCAGAGCACAGGGACAGCCGGCGCTCTTCCTCATGTGCTCCCTCTTCTTCAGACAGCTTTACTTCCTTTTTCACATTGTATAACGTTTCATTGTATGACCATAAGTTATACTCCAAAATCACACATAGCGGCCAATAGGAATTGTTATAAAAATGTCCCAAATGGCATTTGTTTGCAAAGCTCCATTTAAATGTCTGTGTTTGGGGTTTTCATGCTGTTAGTTTTCTTATCTTATTCACACACAAAAATAATAACAATTATTTTATGATACAGTATTTCTTTTTTCATTCTTTCTCAGTGAAGAAAATGAAATAAAAAATATGGGTTTTATTCTGTCATTTGAAAGTCATGGTTTCACTTTTTTGGAAGGAAAGTTAAGTAAGATCAAAGTCTCATTATAAAACGAGATGGATATTATAGATAACTAAAACTATATTCTGTCTTAGTGCATACTGATCACTTCCTCCTCATGTTGATATCTAACTTAGCTTCAGTAACATGTTTGTCTGTTACTAAAATGTTTTTAACATTAACGAGGTTTAAAACTCCCTTTTACACAACACTAGGTGTTCAGGCAAAAAATAACATGAGTTTGTGTGGTTGTTCCGCGTTATATAAAACAGTATTGCAGGCTAGTATTGAAAGAGGAATAGTCTATAACCTACAGGCTTTCTATTCTGGCAGAGCAGAAATTGCTGGAATGCTGACAGTGTTTGTCTGCAGTGAGATACTGTACACACCACACGCTGTATTTATGGACTGTCTTTTAGTAAGAGATAAAGGGCTAGGCTTCATGAGCAAGTGGGCCATTCTTTGTTGGTGGGATGTTCAGAATATGTAAGGAATGTAAATGGTATTACGGACGTAATGGAAGGATTGTCTGCAGTCACCTGTGTGACTCCTCAGGGCTGTGTGGGAGCTTGCCTAAATTAGCCTTCTCTACTCTGTCAAATGAGCTCTTGTTATATTCTGACTAATTGCAGTCAAAATATGTAGTCCCTATTCTCACAGGAGAGAGGATTGAGTTCACTTTGGCTTGTTTGTACTTCCTAATGTTAAGCTACCGATGTTGCAAAATTGCCTCAATGTTTACCGACCCAGCATAACCACACTATTGTGACGCTTTGTTTTCTCTTGATCCTGTGCTTCTCTGTCAGTTTGTTTGTGCACTACTGGCATCTCCCCTGTGAGGCCTTTAAATCAGCCCTCCTGAAACTGATGGTTAGCACATGTTGTTGGTGATGAGGCATCCCAAGCATTCACTGTGGACAGGACTTACAGAGCCGTGACTCACACACGAAACTGGTCTACAAGGGCACACAGTACAGAGTGAACTCTGTTGTGCTGGACAGGGATGTGCTGAGTGGAACATTTTACAGAGGAAAAATAAAACTTCTTAGTGCTCTCAGGTGGATACAATATGTGGATGAGTTACCTCAAATGTATCTTTGGCTTTTCTTAACTGCAGTTTCGTGATGGACTAAAAATGGTGATACTGGTGATATATTGGCCAACATTTTTGCTAGTTTTTCTCAAAATAAACTATTTTCTATTACAGTAAATACATTTTTTGTCAGTAGAACAGGTATTATAGACTTGAATCATTATACTGATGCTTCACATAACTGCCCTTTCAAATTATTCAAACCATAAACTGTGCATCCATGCATCATGCATCATGCATAGATGAGAGAAACCCATCCAGGTACTTTCCCTCTACGTTATACGCCGCTGCCCTTTTTGGGTGAAAATATCTCCTGTCCTTTAACTGGTGGTAAATACAAATTCTGAGGTCTTTGCCAATCCCAAAAGAAAAAAATGAAAAGACTTACATTTTATATCTACACGGAGCCCTGATGTAATAGTCCATCAGGCAAACAATTACACATGTCATTGTACATGATCGGCGTCTATATGCCATATTTTTTCAATGTAACGGTGGATGAGTGGCACACACTTAAACTGGGATTTGTCAGTTTATATTTTAATGCAGCTTCTACATTCATTACCTCGACTTTTCATATTTTACAGTTGGCTTCGAGGATTGACCTCATTAGCATAATAATTTGGCTGTGATGAGGTGTTTCCCAGACATATGGTATCGACAGACCGATTCTTTGTTTTCATCGGAAAGTGGGCGGGGCCATAATTTTGCCGTGCAGTGTCGTAGCCCTGTTCTTATCTATAAAGTCAATGTCCTCACGAAAAGGTTTGTTGATAAAGTACTTGTCCAGGAAGCTTGGCTCTTTTAGGTCTAAACAACCACACTTAAGCACACAAGGAAATCAATGTCAGCCTTTTCCACGTTTTCTTACAGGAAACAAATGACTTGAGTACTTCAATGTGATCCTGGGAATTCTCTGTTTTTTTTAATGAAGCCCTTTGTGTTTATCCCTTGCGCTTGTTGGGGCGTGACTCAGGGAAAGGCTTGTTTATCATATTTCTTTCATGGCTAACAAGTGTGTTCATGTTTTGCTTCACAGGCGGAGGCGAGGCTTGCAGCGAAGCGGGCGGCTCGGGCCGAGGCCAGGGATATTCGAATGAGGGAACTTGAACGGCAGCAAAAAGAGGTATACAACACGAAGTGGACGTGATTCGCTGAGATGCACTGTCACCATTATTCAACTCATCGAGCCAGTTTGTGTAAAGCTGCTGTCAGCTGCAGATTCTACATGGAGAAGGAACTTCATTTCTCCTATTTTTGTATTTGTTGAGCTGCTCTTCTGCCTTGATAGTCACCGGTGCAGAGAAGCTATTTGGCTTTATGCCTTGAGAAACACTTTTAGATATATCTGACTGTTCAAATATCCACAGAAAAAGTGCTGCATGTCCACAGATGAAACCAAACGTTCTATTCTTGAAGTGAATGTCACCAAGTTTTTTAACGTTTCAGCATTTCTTTAAGTGAAGTATGATGTTTTTCCTGGCACTTTCTCCCTCTGTCCAGCGTTCTTACCACACGTCATCCAGCAGTAGCAACAAAAAATGGGGTCAGATCCACCAGTGGATGGTAGGCGAGAGTATTGCACTAACACAGCCTGTTGTGTGGGATTGAGTCCCAGTCAAGCCTGACCATAGAGCTACACTTGACTCACAGACAACACTGAACCTCACTGTGGAAATGTGCCGCAGCAGTGTGTTTGCTTTGGAGACACTGTAGTGTGTGGCTGAGTGTGTATTTGTAGCGCCAGCATTGGCCTTTGACTTTATTTAGGTTGGGTGAGTCTGCATGCAAGAAGGTGCCTTGTGTTACTCCTCTAACTCCAGGCTACTTAGAAAGGATGGATGCTTTTGAATGTTTATGAACAACTTTTGCATTGGATTAATCTTTATGCGTATTGGTGTTTTTACAAGAAGCAGATGTTCATTTTCCGTTATGTTGCCTTTTGGAAAAAAACAGATGAGACCAAAATGTGCAATATATAAGCTGTTGTTGTATATCATTAATCTCGCTGCAGGATAACATTTTCAAATGTTTATAACAACCATTTAGTTATACACATGATGACAGAAGTTGTTTTGCATGGTTTGGGCTTTTGAATAGCAACTGCTGAGTTTTGCAGCGACCTTACTCACCCCTGAGCCTCTCTACTTTCTCTCTATAATCTTTTCTAACTTGTCCTTCCTCCCTCCAGGCTGACTCAGACAAAGCCAGAGGCTCTAGTAGTAGTATATCCAGCAGCAGTCATCGCCGGGTCTGTATCTCCCCAACACACTTCCTCTTTGTCTGTCTGTATTTCCTTTCTTCTTTCCTCTTTAATTCTGCACTTAATAACTCATCACACATGTTCCTCTCTCGGTCTGCCTTTCTGCTGTGACTCCATGTTTCCACATGGGCAGGGGCTGGATGATGATGTCATGTCGGTCCGCAGCTACAGGGTGCGTAATGCATAATAAACCCCTGCCAGTTTTATTAAGACTGCTCTCTCATAGATGTGATGTGAGAAAGCCATTGTTCTTCTTAGGAATGCACTTATTAAAGTAAAGCATTTGGGTGAAATACTTGTATTGGTAGTGTTCATTTGCGTCAGAGTCTAAAATAGTTGGCCAAGTTAAGATTTCCCCTTACCTTTGCTTCTGTTTTTTATTTAAAGTCAACCTCATCATCAGTGCGGGACGTTGGGTCTAAGAGTCGATCCAGTTCCCTTAGAAGAGATCCGTTGGTGCGTTATGTGTATGCATGTGTGTGAGATAATGTGTGGATTTTGGAAACTGAGTGGATACCTGGAGTCTCAGCATGTAGTTCAGGTCTGACTAACTTTATGGTGCTAAGCAGAATTCACTTATATGGATGACCTAGGATGTGCTTAGAAGAAAAAAATAATTGTTGATTTAATATTTATTTCGTGTTTTCCACTCGTCAATTTCTACGCAAGTTACCTTGGTCCCCTTTCATATCAGACATTCATTGATTAGAGATTAAGTTATACCTAAAAGGAGATGTAACATTAAGATTACTTTTTTAGACAATCATCTGTTTTTCCACATTGAATCTCTTCTTATCTTTCTAAAGGGAAATGCAGTCTTTCTGTAGGACACTACATTTGATTTAGAATTGTAAGCATTTAAAGACCTGGAAATGTGTACCTTGACAAGTCATTTAGTGCATTTATCACCTATATTTTGTCCAAACATACCAAAGCAGAAAGCCAGAGCTGTTTTCAGCACTGTTACTTAGGAAATGTCTACAATAGTTCATACAAAAATGTGATGTTGCATTCTGTAAGAACTTTATACAAACCTTATAATGGGCATAGTGCCTCTAACAAAAGCTTTTGTACCTTTTACTGTGGCCTTGGTAGGGTGTACAAAACAAATGGTTTGTTTGATCTGTAGATGTGTTGGATGACTTGTTGCCTGTTGAACAACTAACCTATTGTTAGTGAGGAACACGTGTGTTGCCAGTAAACAGCTAACAGCAACCCAACAGCCTCTCAGGTGTTTGATCTTCTGATTATAATTATTGTGACTCCTGTCCTCTCTTCAGTCTGATGCCCTCTCCACTAGCTCCGCCCTCAAGACTTCCCGCTCCACTGTATGTACCTGTGTGACGGTCATCTGTTGATCACTGCTTATACGTTTCTTCAAGTCATTTTGTATACTTGTTTCTTTTCCTTTTTTTAATCATTTTTCTCTGGGCTGATTAGAGTTCTGTGTACAATGACCTGCACGGCCATAAAAGGTCTTCATCCAGCTCCTCGAGGAAGGACCTCCTGGTCAGTTTACCCCCGTACTGTTTTCTGCTGCCTTAAGCATGGAGGTAGTGGAGACTAATAATAGTGGCTTGCGGTGGTGATTTACTGTTGATCGATAAATATTGACTATTTGTTGTGAAGCAGATGTTGACCGATCCGTGTTGAATGTGTCTGAATAAGTTATTAGTCTGACACTTGAGGATAAATATGTCATTGTTTGGTTGAGGTCATATTATGTCACTACCCTTCCAGGCTGGACTTTACCATGATCAAAGGAACTACACCAGCCTCACGAAGACCAAACCAACGCCTCCTTCCTCCACCTCCACTTCCACCTATACTCCTCGGGTCGGTCCCCCTGAAAGTCCTGTCCAACATTTTACACAAACAAGCTAATGTGGTTAAAGACACTCAGTGAAACCAGAGTCGGTTCAGGCAGTATATTCGTACCTGGATGGTCTAGTTTATTGGACATTTATATGCGTTACAGCTTGTTATATAACTGCGATAAGAGATATTGTTTGTGTTATAAAATAATCAAATACAAGAGGATAATTGTTTGCAGCTAGTGTAGCTCTCTATTATAAAACAGTTCTTGTGATCATTTGACTTTATGTAAAGGACTTGCTTTAGGTGGTTATCCTCCATCTGTATTAAAACAGTCGATAGGGACATCGTCACATGACCTCAATTCTCAACACTTTCCACGGTAAATATAAAAGGGTCAGCAAACATTTATCCTGTTTCCACTTCCGCAGCTCTTTAGTCTCTCTCAATTCACATTCCCACTCCAGCTTTCCTCTGTCCTCTAATCTGACATTTCCCTGATCCCATCCTCCCTGACAGGCCACCACTTCCTCCTCCTCCTCCACCACTGGCACGGCGCTGCCTCGTAGCTACAGCATGGTCAGTTTCTCTCTGCATGCCTCTGGTTACCTTCAGAATTTCACATTCTTCCTCTCTTGTGGCCACATGCATCTGATAGGATGCCCAGGTTGGCGGGGACTTTATATATTTAGCTCCTGGACACAGAACACTTGTTGGTGTCCAGACGTGTGTGCTCCACTGAGATAAGACAGACATTTGCATGAAGCCAGGGCTTTTGTTGTAGAGCACTGAAACAAATGGCCTACTTGAAGTTGGAAATACACAGTGTGTCTGTTTATTGAATGGCCCAGATAAAAGTCAGTATACTAAATAAACTTAGCTACTACGTCAAAGACTCATGTGCCCTCTTGTGATCTGCTCCATTGTCTCCCACGTGTGTCCTCAGGCCTCTATTGGCGACGACGCCGGCCTTTACGGCTCGGGGCAAAGTTCAAGAGCCGTAAGTTGTTGTGTTCTGTTTGCTAAAAAACGTTTTTGTCACCACCACTGCAGCTAAACTAGCGTGTTTTGCCTGTCCTGTCCTCCCACCACCACAGCCCTCTGAATTGAGCTGGTACTCCTCTGGAGCCGGCTCCACCCGCAGCAGCCCTGCGGTGAGCACCTAAAAACCACCGCCCTCCTGCATGGTTTCAACAAACACCACACGCTGGTGCCTTTCTATTAACAAGCTTATCATACCCCCATGCCTCACTCCTGCTAGGGACATTTGTTGGTCAGCCATCCCGACCAACTTGCTTTAGGGATTAGCATTTTTTAATTGAAATAAAAGTGTGTGAATTGACGATTTTTTGTTTTAGCTATTGTAGCGAGGCAGATGTTGTCTTGTCTCCCTTAGCGCTGCTTTTGACTTATGGTCCTAATAGCATGAATTGGCATTACTTTAAAGGGGCCCTATCGTGCACATTTTCAGGTTCATATTGTAATGTGTGGCTCTACTGGGACGTGTCTCCATGTTTTAATCTTCCAAAAGCGCTCTATTTTTTCTCATACTGCCTATACTGCAGCACCTCTTTTCACCCTCTGTCTGAAACCAGAGCCCAGTCTGCTCTGATTGGTCAGCTGGCCGGCTCTGTTGCGATTGATCAACCGCTTAGAGATGTCCTGCCCCTTAGCCTATCACTTACAATGTATTGGAGCGCTAGCCAATGTTCCGGAAGTAAACAAAGGAGTCCAACTAAGGTGTTTCAGGCAAGGCAGGGGGGGGGGGGGGGGGGTTTGGAGAGAAACTCCTTCTGGCACGAAGTGATGATTTTAGCCTAGAAGACCATTTACATTCACAATATAACACATTACAGGAAAGGGAAAGCCACAAAAAGCATAATAGGGCCCATTTAAGAGTGTTACCGTCTTGGGAGCAATCCAATATTCAGTTTAGCACAGTGCTACCTATTTTCTATAGATTGCTGTTTGAGCAAGAAATGTATGTGTGTCTGTGTGTGTGTGAGAAAGCCTTTGGCATGCAGCCATCTTACATTACTTCAACTCCTCATCTTTTGTGTGTGTGTGTGTGTGTGTGTTTTTATATGTACGTGTGCGTGTTCCTCTCAGTCTTCTTCAGATGATGACACTGTCAGCAGCGTGTCCCAGGAGCGCGTCAACCGAGGCCGCAGGGACAGTGTGGTGAGCTGTAGGGACTGATGCTGTACTACTGGTTGATAATCTAATAATCAAACCTTTTTTATTTTATTATAATAAGCTGCATAACAGCCTCAGATTAATACCTCATCATTTGTCACAACACAATCATGCGTTTTGAGTTCCCTTAATGCCTAATCTTTTTTTCCTCCTACGATTCTTCATCTTTGGCTCTCTGTTATTCTTTATGTCTGTGCCTCTATCCCTCTCTTCTTCATCCTGCGTGTGTTCCGAGCAGTCGTCTGACTTCTCCGACATTAGTGAGTCGGCTGCTGATTATTTCAGCCGCACCAACCGAAGAGGCAGTATTGTGTCTGACCTCGATGATTTGAGCATTCCAGATCTTGACAGTGTAAGTTTTACGACAGCGGTTTGGAGAGTGCAGTGTGCAACCCCAGAGATGCATGATTACAAATAACACTTGGTTTTCAAAACTCATAACACAGTGTGTTTTTATTGACTCTACATAAGTGGTGTAAGTACAGCTGATTTGGCTGCTGTGTTGCAGCAGCAGCATGGATGTGGAAAATCTTCTTTAATGGAGTGTGAATCAGTCAGTGTTGCATTGCTTGTTTGGTTGTCCACTGGTTATGGTCTGTGAACATGCAGCACTTATCCCAGCCGTGTATCTTGGACTAACTCCCTGATTTACAGACAAAGAAACGGCTCCAGGCATGACAACACAGGACGCGTGATCTCAAAATCATCTTTTATCTATGTTTGAATATTTCTTCTCTTTCTTTCAGCTGGATGAAAAATGTGACAAGCAGTATTCAGATTTTAGTCGGGTGAGTGCACCATCATTTATGCTTTTTACTTTTACTCAAACAGGCATTGAAGCAGTCAGTGGGTTTAATCTCATACTGAACTATAAATTGATTTGTATGCCACATTAGGCAGCTACCAAGTAACCACAACACAAAAGTATTATCTGGGTTTTATACACAAAGTTTAGTAGCAAAACACTTGAACACGTGACAGGAGGATTTCAATTTGGCGGGATCAATTAAAAGTAGGGTTTTTTGGTACTTGGTCAGTGTACCACAGAAAATGGCAGTCTTCAAACCTGGATATTAGTTTATTGTCTATGCTTAATTTAGCACATTTCCACCTCTTAAACCTGCTGTCAGAAAGCATTTTCAGAAGAATAACAGAAGCCTGTATCTCTGTTATTAAAAGCACCAGAATCCTTTGACAACAAATGTACTGCGCAGATCACAGAGATTAAAAGGTCAATCTTCTTGTCTATTAACAACTGGAAGAGCTTTTACATATTCAAGTCAGCATTCAAACACAGAGGCTTCCATAAAAGATGCATCGTCAGGTTGCTGGTTAACCACCGCCTCGATCGGTTAGTTAGTTTAATTGTGTGACTTTGATTTATCTCAAACCAACCACGTAAAACACGAAAGTACCTCACAGTACCGCTTCAAGCGATCAGTGCTATCACTTTGAGAGCCCGGCGGCATCACATGATGTCCAAGTTGTGAATGTGTTGCATTGTGCAGCAGTTTTTCTGTGTTTTTTTCCCTGACTAATGTTCTGTGGTTTTCTGTCTTCTCAGCCATCTTCCCGATGCGCCACCCCAGGCCTCTCAGTGGCCGCGTTGGCGTCGCTGGGCGGCTCGTCGTCACGGCGGGGCAGCACAGACACGGGGAGCATCTATGACGCCGACACCAGTCTGAGTGAACTTAGGGTAAGGTGTACAACACACACACTGTCACCCTTCTATTACTGCAGCTGAACAAACTGGAAACAAAATAGCATGTGGATTCAATTTGACTTGCTGTAGTTGCCATCAATCACATGATCATCAAGCTAAAATGCTAATTCACATGTTCTGTATACATCTGTCCCTTCTTCACATGAAGCTCCCACAGCGTTTCTTCTGTTGTGTCCTCCCTGCTGTTTCTGCTTTTTTCTTTACGGATGTGACATGTTCCCTGAGATGTTCCTTATTTCTGGGTGCGCTGGCCATGTGTCTGCCAGCTGGATTGTTTTTGCAGCACGGGTGCTTTGTC